CTGATTTTCGCTATTGCATAAATAGCGCTCTCTACTGCGAGGATCGTGCATCATACGTTTCTATAACCGCAGTTCAAAATATATGAACTTTCATATATTCATTGTATCTGATTTATCATCACGGGTTTATTGCGAATCAACTTAACGGCCTGCTCCCAGTTGGCTTGTTAGCTCAATAGTCCCTTTTACAGTTGTGGGCTTGGTGGCCAAGCCTTTGAACAGGAGTGAGGCTAAGGGTGACCTTGTTGTGATAAAGACCTGTATCTAGTTAGCATGATAACAAAGTAATTTGCATTTGAAAAGCAGCAACATCTGTATCATAACAAGGACACCCTAAGCCTCACTCCTGTTCAAAGGCTCTGCCACCAAGCCCACAACTGTAAAAAGGACTATTGGTAGAGCGCTGCACTAGTATCGCAGAGGTCAGTGGTTCGAATCCCGTACAGGCCTGATTTTTTTCAGGTCTGATTTTCGCTATTGCATAAATAGCGCACTCTACTGCGAGGATCGTGCATCATAAAGTTGATGTAATTGATGCAATTACAATGTGACTAAAGCGAACTTTAACAATTAAAGGAAAATTACCAAAACTGTTCTCAGACAGAAAATATGATTAGCGTCCTAACAAGTGATGGTACATTTGATTTGTGATATACAGAAACCTAAACTATCTTCCGACTCAGAGGCTGCACCAAAACGAGGACGGCGTCCTATGAGGAGAGATCAAGAAGCTACAGACAAAAAAAAGAAGCCAATGGATGTGCGGACTGAATGTAGCGTGTGTAAACACAGTGGAACCAATGTTAATCTTGTCAGGTATAAATCATAATTGTTCTACCGTTTTTCCATGAGGACTATCAGGGATTACTGTATGTTCCACTTATTTATCTTTGTCTCTTTTATTTTCTTTTATTTTCTTTTTATTTTTTTTATTTTCTTTTATTTTCTTTTATTTTCTTTTATTTTCTTTTTATTTTTTTTATTTTCTTTTATTTTCTTTTTTTTAATTGTTCTACCGTTTTTCCATGAGGACTATCAGGGATTACTGTATGTTCCACTTATTTATCTTTGTCTCTTTTATTTTCCAGGTGTGACAGTTGTCAGCTTTGTTATCACTTTCATTGCCTTGACCCTCCAGTTAAAGTAGGTAGACTGTGATGGTAAAATAGTTAAAGTACGTTGACTTTGATGGTAAAGCAGTTAAAGTAGGTGGACTGTGGTGGTAAAGTAGTTAAAGTAGGTAGACTGTGTTGGTAATTCACACAAGGTGAACTGACACTAGTTTTCCTTGTCCACTAGTTTACGAACAGTTCAAGGAGGAAAAAAACACTAAGTTGCAAGAAACCAGTGATTTGGTGTAACATAACACGATATGACAGGAGAAAAATGAAGCTGGAAAAAAAGCATGATAGAGAACTCTACATAGAGGCCTCAGAGCCCATCAGTTATTTGACTCATAGTTTCTTCCATTACATGTCAGCCACAAGTTGCTGTGTGTTGATAGCTTTCTTACTTTTATATATAGCCCCAACCGAAGACTCCCACACCATATCCTTTTCCTGTGGGTTCTTAGCTTTCTTACTTTTATCTTGTAGGCTAACCCCAAGACTCGAGGATACCAGTGGGTATGCAAGGAGTGCGACGAATCAGTAAGTCCTGATTCTTTGTCTTTGTCTTCTTATCGGAAGAAAACCGAGAAAACGCAACTTTGAGTAAAAAGGTACTTGTTTGAGTCTGTGAAGGTGAATTTTATAGCAAACTAGGGAGTTTACTAAACCTTTTTCACTTTTTATCTTTGAGGAGGGGGAAAGTGAAGAAGATGTCCATGTTGAAGAGTCGAACTCTACTGATGCGAAAACAGACAAAAAATCGAAAGAAGAGAACGATAAACAAGAAATCAGCGAAACATACACAAAGAAAGGGGAAGAAAACAAAGAAACCAGTGATGATTCTGCAGATAATTCCTCAGTAACGAGCCCCGAGCAAAAAGACAAGAAAGTTAATTTATGAAAGACTTGTTATTTACCAGAGCTCCATTTTATTTAACTTTATCAGGAGAATTTTAGAAAAATCTATATATCTTTGAGAATAAGAGCATTGTTGTCATTTAGTTTGTTAACATGATTTTGATTATTAGGTTATTTTAACAATGATCACATCTAACCGCCCTTGTAGATTCCAGTAAGAAAAGATCCTTATAACAGAAAGGAAAGCAGCTCAAAGTGGTTGATACTTCTGTTCAGCGGACCACTCTTGAGTCACTGACATGTGCTCGTATTAACAGGGTGGTACATTGCATCGCATGCTCAGTCTTTAGCTTGGGATTTTTACAGGTAGTATCATCCTTAGTTTCGGTTTCTGATCAAATTTATTCCTTACTCTTAATGGCCCAATTTTCCTCCGTGTATGTTATCGTGGTTGATATCAAACATGTAGAGGAGGTGCGAGTAGGCCAGAAAAATTTGGACTCGAATCAATCCTGGTGCATGTTGTTAAGCCGTATGGCAGCTCCTGAGCCGTTTTGTTAAGAGGCGACCCCAAGGTCCCGGAATTGAAATTAAATAGTAACTGTTCAGTTAGATCATATTCTCTGCTTGTTTTTCTGCTCGGTAATCAGAGAAGAATTAGTTGGACGTTTTGCCCGTTTTTTTTTCTTTATTGTGTCACGTTTTGCTACCACTCAGATATGATCTTCAAATTCCAAGAATTTAGACACTGACATATAATCAGAGAAAATGTTTATGACATATGAACTACTAACGAGTGTAGCGTGTTTTGGAGCTTGTAAACCTCACTCAAACTTTCACGCAGATCAGTGTTACCACATGGAGACAAACATGTAACTGTCTTAGCACTAAAAGAATTCCAAGCTCCGTTACAAGGAATGAAGTAATATTATTGACCTTGCATTTGGTGTTGTGGGAAAGCCTGGTACACCTAAAGAATACGCATAATCCGTTACCACCAGCAAAAATTATAATTTTTCCCAGAAAAATCTTTACCAATGCCATTTTCTCCAAAGAATGTTAATTTTGCTATACTTTTTCCGAATACGAATTCAACTGACAATTTGACAACAGCGAATCAAATTCTCTGTACTTTCGCTTGTATTGTCTCACTATACTACTGTTGGGAGTGCAGTTTTGTTAGCATGCTACTCAGCTGTGGCATTCGGACGTTGCTGCCCGGAACAAGATTTTTGACCTAACGTATTTGTGTGCATGTTTTAGCATCACCATTATTCTACGCATAACTTCTGTCGAGAGTAAAATATTAGGGAGCTTCTTCATCACCGGCCTTGATCAGACGAACTTTTCCGGCTGCGTTGGGTAGGATAAGCACTTTTTCTAAAATGCAGTGGTAATGTTAGCAAGTCAGTTGTAAACCTGATACCGCATCAAAATCATTAGCCTGTTGATTATGCTATCAGAATAATATTCAATCAATTTCACGAAATGTACGATACAAGCGAAAAGAGATGCGAAGCGAGCGGTAGAAACGTTGTATGACTAGGGCGGCTAGGAACACGAAAATCAAAAACGGAGAAGACGGTAAGCGAACTGGATAAATGAAACGTAGCGATAGAAAAACACATGTCCACTGAAAAAAAAACGCATGCAAAAGGGCCTTAACCAGACGAAATTATGCGAAAACACTTAACAGAATATTTATTACGTAAAAGCGAGAAGAAAAACACAAAGAATGCGATAATGACAGAAAAAAAAAATGCGCGTACAAACAAGAAAACACAAAAGAAACAAATACAACCGTGTGGCGGTAACAACGTGCTCGCAATCTGCCCTGTCTGTCAACGTTTGTTAAAGACCGAGTGAAGACCTGGGAATAGACGCTAACAAATATGGCGGCCCCTGCGAATTCTTTATTGAGACTTTGCAGTCAATCTTGTATCAAATGGGGACGCATTGCGCTCCTTGGTCGTCATACAAGAGATACTATGAATCACAAGGGACTTAAGATATTTAATCGAGGACTATGGGTGTCTAGCGGTAAGCTGTAAGTGCTAAGCATAAGAAAGAAGAATTAGAGAGGGGAGTACATTATTAAATGGAGTACCTCAAAAATCACGTATTGATCAAACGAAATAATTAATGAACATGGTAAATCGTTTAGGTGTTTATATCTTAATATATTTTGAGCTCGCCAACTCTCCGATTGTCACAGTTCGATACAGTTTTGGGGGGGCAGCCGCAAGGGGGTTCTCAGTCTTACTGGTTCCTCCATTTTGGTTTTACCGCTGTATAATAAGTCCTCCATATGATGACCTTTTTGTTTGCGTGCTTATCTCAATTTTATTATGCTACAGATACATGGGTGAAGAGAAGCTTAGTTAAAGACATGGAGGACCACGCTAATTAACTTAGTGTTCGCTGGTGATATCCTCAGTAAATATCGTTATTATTATTATTATTATTATTATTATTATTATTATTAAATGAAAGTTTGTGCCTTCATTGCTTCGCACAACTAAGAAACCCATGAGCCCTTTTGTTTGTAGATTGAATGCTACACCTCTTACAGACACCATATAATATATAAAATTTAATAAGTATTTTGAAAGATGTAAAACCCACTGCTAAATGAACAATGTCTGTACTTTAGCCTCTTAGAGATCATAAATATAGATGGTAATCCACCATGGATTATGTTCATGGATTACATTAAACCCTTCAGTTTGAAGTGTTGAGCAGTTTAATGTTAAATTCAAGGTGGTGGTCAACATTCCTGGACTTTATTGGACTGTGAGGATCAGAGAGCTGGCAAGCTCAAAGTATATTAAGATTTGTTCATCTAAATGATTCACCATGTTTATGATAAAAGTATTTTATTTGACCAATACAGTAGGACCTCAATTTCCAGCCCAAGAGTGCCAAGAGTGCCATATGGCACTCTCCTGTACCACCCCCTCAAAAGCCCAAGAGTGCCATATGGCACGCTTGACCTCATCGTTTTCCAACCAATCTAAAACGTTCTTCTTTTATTGTTCCAAGTGTCTATTGTATTTCAACCAATAGTGATACAATTTTACTTTCATTTGAGTCTACTTTCAGGGGTAGGGTTCATACAAAATTTTTATGTTATCGTAGGCTGAAAATATATGTTATTACTTCGTAATGGCGGCGGTAGTCCAATCGGATAGCGAGGAAGAAGAGTTTTTGGGATTCGGTCAACAACTTGAATCCAGCAGAAATGTCTCTGACAGTGAGTCAGATATATCTGTGTCTTCTGTAAATACTGAAGACCTTTCGGATTTTGAGCTTACTGACTCAGAAACTGAAGAAGACGGCGTTGTGCCGTGGAACACAAATCGTGATCCAGTCGAAGTGAATCCCTTCGTCCAAAATACTGGTCCAGTCACCAATGTCACCGGAACATCTACCCTCGATTTTTTTAAACTGATGTTTAAAGAAGAAAATTTTGACAGAATTGCTGAAGAAACCAACCGCTACGCTCGGCAAGCGATGGCAATCAAAGCTGACCCAGAGTGGCGTGAGACAAACGCCGTTGAAATCCGTGCGTTCTTCGCAGTAAACATAATGTTTGGAATCAAACAGCTACCAGAAATCCATTCATACTGGTCAAAGAATCCTCTCCTTGGCGTTCCGGAGATACAAAAGGTATTTTCAAGAAATCGTTTCAAGAAGATTTCTCAATAT